GAAATTAGGACTTGGACAGGGAATTGGCTCTTCTTTAGTCTGTAGGCTACAGGTTTCCATACCAAATAAGGCAAATAAATCAAATCTTTCTACACAGAGAGAAAGAGAAACAGAGACAGAGACAAGACAGAGAGAGACAAACATAGAGAGGAAGAGAGATCAACTGAGTTCTCTGAAAAATGCTAATACACTTTTGAAATTCCCTCATCCAAAGGGGGCAATTTTCCACCTCAATACACCCAGAGCCCTTTTGTTGGATATGCATTATACTTTATCACGTCATGTTTTTCAGAATGAAATAGGAAGGCAGGTGTATTTATCGGGTATAAGGTGGTACTGGACGCTGAATCGAGTGTCTTGTGCTTATCCATCCACTTCTTTGCCAGTTAATTCATTCAGCAGGTAACTACAGAGCATTTAGGATCTGGTCCAGGAACTTGAAAGCTATATATAGCACACAGGCAGAATTCCATCTGCCCTGGTTTTAAAATCAAGTGTTTATTTGAATACAATCATTTTTATTTGTTTGCATATATCTATGGCTTTCTTCCACGACAACACTGAGTAGTTTTGACAGGGATTATATGGCCTGAAAGCCTACGATACTTAACATTCAGCACATGAAAGAGAAAAGTTGGTGTCTTCTGGCTAGGCGCTGGGGCAGTTTAGTGAGGAAAAAAAAAAAAAAAGCCTGTCCTCTGGGTCCTACCGGTGGGGAAATAGGGGACAGACAGACAGACAGAAAGGAAACAAACCAAACACAAGAAAGAGACTTACTAAGTTAACAGCACAGGGAGGGCCACGGAGAGAACCAGGAATGCTGCCTGTTGGGTGGGTTACAGGGAAAACTGGCCTCAGGAAATCCTCAAGGCAAAGGCGACTTTGGTACAGACTCCAGGGGAGAAGGAGTGAGCCATGCGGATGGGGATGGGGGTTCCTGGGAGAGGGGCCGTAGAGGCCAGAGCCACACTGGAGGACTGTCCAGTCATGCAGACCGGCCTGAGCACTCTGTTCCAGACACTGTTCAGGAGCTTCACACCTAGAACCCTGCTCAATCACTGAGAAGCCATTGCCTTGTTGCACAGCGTTACATAGGAACGACCTTAACACGGCAGGTTTCTGTCACTAATATTCAGACAGCACCTTCAGTTTACAGAGTTCTGTAATATTGTTTGTTTGGACTTCATGATGTTTCAAGGTGGATACTGACACCAACATAGAGATGTAAAGATCAGAAAGAGCTGGTCACTCATGCCAGGTCACAAAGTGGGTGAATTCTGTAAGCTTCAGATCCAGACACCGTACTCTGCACAGGAGGGCTGGATTCCACCTGGTTTCGCATTTTGTTCACCACTCCTACTCACACATAACACAAAGCCTACACAAAGAGGCAAAGTGTCGTGAAACAGAACTGCGGCCCCCGCAGAGCCACTCTAAGTCCCCTCCCTGCCCCACGGCACGGCTGGGTCTCACGCCCAGCACCTGCACCCTCCAGGCAAACCTGTGCCTGCAGCACCTTACTCATCCCTCTGCACAGCCTCTCGCTGCTGGGAGAGGTCTTCCACACCTGTGTGTGGTTGCCCCATGCTAGGAGACGAATGGTGCCAGGCCAAGAGCTCTGGCTACAGAGGCTCTGGACAACTGGGTGACAAACCACCCATTCTCTAGTGATTGGCCTGCTAGCAACCAACCACAGACCAAGCCCTCTGTTCAGGGCCAACGATACAGAACACAGCAAAACCAATGCCTCTTCCAGGGAGATGCCAGTGCAACTAAGGGCAGGGTGTGTCCCCAGGGCTCTGTGGACTCCTTTTCATGCACTTTTCTGTTTTATTATGAGACAGGGTCTTGTTATGTCATTCAGACTGGCCTAGAACTCATGACGATCCTCCTGCCCAGCTTCCTTTTTCTTTTTGATAATAAATAAACGAATGAATGTTTTCTGTATGGACTTTTAAATTTTTTGTTTTGTTTTGTTGTTTTTTTGAGACAGGGTCTCACTATGCAATTAAGGATGGCCTTGAACTCACTATGTAGCCCAGACTGGCCTTTAAATTAAGGCAATCCTCTTGCCTCAGCCTCCTGAGTGCTGGGATTACAGGTGTAAACCACCATGCCTGATTTTTATTTTTTTAGAGGCACTGAACTCAAGGACCTCCTGCATGCTAGGCAAGCACTGTACCAGTGAGCTACCTCCACGAACACGCCCATCTGATTCAGGGCTCATGGGTATGAGCTTGGTGACTCAAGGCTTCCAATAAATTACTGATCAGTTGATTGACATGTCACACAGGAAGTCACTAACAATGACAGGGTCAAGTACTAGGTCTTCCCTACCTGGCAGTCTCCACCACCTGGACTTTCACAGCAAGGAACAAATCTGACAGTGACCTTCCTGACCTGGGTCTGTGACTCCAGCTTCCAGCCTCCTGGGAGTTCAGGGAAGATGCAGTGTTCTTGGCTGTCTCCCAGGGGGTGTCGGGTGAGCATTAATTAGTCACCACTGGTAAGTGCTCCGAAGATGTGAGGTAAGGTACACAGCAAGTTACTAGGCCTCATCACAGCACTATGCTCTAACAGCCTGGGAACAGTCAATTGAGAAGTAATTAACCCCTCAGGGTGTAGAGGACTGCTGCTTGCTGTTCAGGGATTGGAAGAGATGTAATGATGGTGGGGGGGGCATCCGACAGGGAGAAATAAAAAGCTACTTTGGATTCTCGGTTTCCAAACCAGTCTGAAGATGATTGGGCCCCAACCCCAAAGAGGAGGCTAGGGAATGCAGGCCCAGACAGGGTTCCCTGATGAAAGTCCCCCTCCCCCCCCGTCCCCCCATCTCCCACCCCCCCACCCCCCCCACCCCCGCAGTGCTAGGCCGTGAAAGTACAGTAGTCTCTCGTGAAAGTACAGTAGGTCTCTCGGGCAAGAACTCAGCTCTGCGCGGCCGCCTGGGCTATAGGCAGACGAGTGTGTGTGCCCAGGGCTCCGACTGAGCAGCACTGTCCTGACCTTAAGACCGTGACTTTAACATTCATCCTCCAACCCTCGTTTCCTCCTCAGCAGGTTGTCTGAGCCGCCAATCCAATCCAGTCACTCTGGAGGAGACCATAAAACACTCATGCCCAGATTATCCCAGATGGACAGTCACCTGGGTGGGGTGGAATTGTGTGCAAGGCTATTCCAGCACAACGGAACCCTAAGCCACTTCTGTCGGCTGTGGGCCAAGAGCTGTTACCAGTTGTGAGTGATCAGACGCTCAGATGCCAACCGAAGTGGAACCTCCCAATACCGCCAGCTGCTCTCCCTTCCTTCAGGTCTTTGTTAAAAAGGTTAAGTTCCCTCCCAGCCTAGAGGGCTCACGCCCTGATGATCACAAATTCAAGGCCACTCAGGGCAATTTAGTGAGCTTCTGTCTCAAAAATAAATAAAATAAATAAATACACAAATAAGTGGCCTGGAGATCTAGCTCAATAGTAGAATGATCCTAGTTTCAACACCACGTAACGAAAAATAAAAATAAAATAAAATGTCGGTGAGGCATCCTAATTCAAACTGCAGCCACACCACTGCCCCCACTCCATTCTCCTTCCTTCCCTCTAACTTTTAAAGATGAGATATTTATCTAAAATTTTAATTTTCATCATAGATTTTTTTGCTTTAATTTCGATTTTTAGAAAATTAATTGTATCAAAGTTCTGTTTGTCTTGATCACTAAGTTTTTTTCTGCCTCTTGCCTGGCCCACCTAAATTTCATCATACTGGTTTATATATAGACCCTTTCCTCCCTTAAGAATGTAAACTGCACTAAATACAGGGAAATTTGATTTTCATTCGCTTCACTATGCTCAGTGGCTGCAAAATGACTGGTACAAGGTAGCAGCTCAAGCAGTTTTGTGAAAAATTGAATTCCTATTTTTCTAAAGACCATCTTAGCCACTGTAATAAAAGTGCCATCCTCGAACTGTTTCACAATTTTAAAGTTATTTAAATAGAAAGCCTGGTAAATCATAGGGTAGACTAAAAGGACAATCCTGGGGGCGTTGTCATGGTTACACTGTCACCAGCCCCTCCCACAAGGAGTATGGGGAGGATCCTGATCGCAAGCAATAACACCAGACAAATCCTCGCAGGTCGAATTTTAACCACAGAGTTAAGCCTCCATATATCCTAGAGGGCACTTCCGGAGGGTGAACTACTCATTGCTGCCTTGGCCAATCTATGAACTAGGAAGGAGCGGGTTTCTCTCTCAACTTCCGGAAAGCCTAACCTAGGAATCTAGAGAGAGGTGCCAGAACGTCCCACCCCGTTTCGGTAAATGCAGCCTTCTATTGGCTAGTTGAGTGGGAGGCGGGGCTAAGGGTTAGCGGGCGCAGGCGCGCTAGCCCGGCACGACAGACACGGGGGGCCCTTGCTGGGGCTGTAGCTGGTGAGCGTGGGTGGCGATAGGCTTTGAGGGATTCGTGGGAAGAAGGAACGAAGTGAGGATCTGATGCTATTGGTCGCATGTGCGTCCATACTTAGAGTTGGGTCGGGGTTGTAATCACATTAAGACTGATAGACTTCCTCTCCTTGCTCGCGGCCTCCTCCGCGGTAGCCGTGAGAGCCGCGGGGTTCCTCGGGATGGGCAAACGGGATGGGGGTGGGGTCACTGGAGTAGTCAGCTGGGGTGGAGGCCGAGCAAGTCTGGAGCGTGGTGTGGGGGGAGCGTGGTGTGGGGCTACCGTGCTGCTGTGCAGCGCGTTGGGATGGAGGCTTCGTAGGGTTTGGAAGTGGATTCCTTGCTATCCGGCAGTTACCCTACTCACGTTTCAGTCACTTGATCCAGTGACTTCACATCTCAGAACCTCTCGTTCCTGTAAGTTGCACCCAAGCAGCCCTATAGACGATTGTGTACAACTGTTTACAACCCTCCTGACTGGACTGAGGACTATGGGGAGTCTAGAACCTTAGAAAAGACCTGAGCTGGAGGAGCTGCTTGCCCCACGCAGAGCAGGTACTGGGAAACTTTAATGAATAACTCAGGATTGACGGCAGTCTGAAGCACTGGCCCACATTAGTAATTATATTTGAGGTATTTTCTCTACAACCTTGAAAAATAATATAATGGACTTGTCACTTAACGAACTCAATTTGTTCTCAAGGGCTGGTTGTAACGCAGATTGGTTGTTAAGTCAAGACTTTTTCTCATAAGAAATAATGGGAATATCCGTAATGTGTTCTGAATATTCCAAAGCATCCCTTACGCTTTTCGTAATGAAAAAGGTTGTATATGTGCACAGTTTCAGAAACACCAATAATTTTCCTAGTGTATTTACCAAAATATTTCAAAATGTGCCTCCTTTACCAGAAACAACAATTTCATACTTTTCTCACCGCGTAAGTTGACATCTCCTGCTCGCAGGAAGGGACGATAAAATGGAAGGTGGTTATTGTTTGGAAAGAGTCCTCGTCTAGAAGATCAGGAATCTGGCTCTCTGGTGTCCTTTCTTTCCTTGGGAGAGTATGAAGCCCTGGCTTACTGTGTCTCAACTTTTTCAGAACTAAAAAGTGGTCTAAGGTTGTCTGTTTCTGTCTTTTCTTTAACTCTGTTCTGTAATATGACATGAAATGTTATTAAGCAAGTGAATGCAACACTTAGCTTTTTGTCTGTCTGGCTTGGTCTTCTCTACAAATGTAGCTCTTGTCCATTTTTTAGGATTTCCTTTATTTCAGAAGATTTTTCTGCATTGACTGTTGATGGTACTTGTCCTCTTCGGAAAGCTCCTCAGCTGCCATTCTCTGATCCTCAGCCAGAAGTTACTGAAGTTCCTTTGTAGACATTTCCTCTGAGTGTTCCTCCACCAGTTCTTGAATATCACTGTTGTCTACCTACAGTCCTGTGGACTCTGTAGTGACAGTGTCATCAACCACAAGGTCAAATGAAGTCTCACATACTTCATTTCTAATGTGTAGAATACCTCTACACAGTATTCAAAGTCTCTCTCCTTTATCACTTTGGGCCACACTTTCATTCAGACAGATCTCAGCATCCTTAAAGAAATCGGCCCATGATTTCTCAGTTAACCTCCATAGGAAAGGGTGTTGTAATATTCCTTCCAGAACTCTTTAAGGCTTAAATCTGTATCTGAGAGTGTTTGGAAACGTTTCAGGAACAGTTCCTTGGGGAATAGCTTCCTAAAGTTAGCTATACCCGTAGGTCCATAGGCTGCAGTAGAGGAGTTATATTAAGTGAGAGGAAATCGACTGAGAGCCATGGGAATTCTTTAGTTAGTTATTGCAAATCTCATGGATTAGCAGGAGCATTGTCCATGATGAGCGCCTTGGCCCTCTAGGTATTTCTTAATAGTAAGATACAAAGTCTCCCTGATCTTCTCACGGAAAAGTATTCTTGTTACTCGGCTTTTGCCTTTTTGGATCTCCACATGACCCCTAACTTGTTCTTCATCACTTTGTGTTTTCTGGGGTTCTCAGAGTGATAAACCAAGAGAGGTTTTATCACCACTCACATTGGCATACGGCCATAAAATTAGCCCACCCTTCATAGGGGTGTGGCCTTGGATTTTCTTCGCTTTCTGAGTAATGTATGTTCTCCTGGCCATTTTCCAGAAAAGGCCAGTTTCATCAGAGTAAAAACTTGATGAGAACACAAGCCATTTCTCTGTGTCATCATTTCAAAATGTTGTATGTCATTTTTAGCACCGGCTGCTTCAGGGTGCCTAGTTACACTGCGAACCCCAGTTCTCACTAAAAATTGTGAAACCACCTCTTACTGGCATGAAATATTTCATCTATATCACTCACTGACGCATCTTACGAGGGCTGCATTGCTCCATCTGCCTTTTGTTTAGCTGTCCTTCCTACCTTGTCTCACACCGCTGATTGTGACTTACTAATCAGAGTAACACCTTTGGCAACACTAGCTTCCTTATACAAGCCTGAAAAGAGAAATCTGTCAGATTGTCAAGATGGTGGATTTTGATGTGCTAATATGTATCAGTCACATGAACAACACTTTCATATTTCTCCAGTTTCCTTCTTTTTAGTTGTGATTGTTTTCCCTCCCTCCCTTCCTTCCTTTCTTCCTTCCTTCCTTAACTTCTTTTCTAGCTTTTTTGGGGCCATTTACTTTGAGTATTTGACAGGTTTAGAGATTGGTCCGAACTCACATGGGAAAAACTTTACTTTGGGGCCATTTTGATACCAGTAATCGTAGCAATTATGTAAAGCACTGACCAAGATCACATCCACAAGTACACACATCTGGGCTCAGACTGATGCTTACACATGCTTTTCTGGCATCGTGAGTCTTTGTTTAAAACCACACAAGCAACCGGCATTTGGGTCGTAACTCAAGTTTCTGGTCATAAAAAACCAAAACCTAAAATTCTGGTTGTAACCCAAGTTGTCTGTGTGTGAGTACCAGTCTTAAAGAGAGTCCACCGTACTAATTACTGGGTGTGGTGGCAAATGCCTGTAATCAGAGCAATGAAGAGACTGAGATAGGAGAATCACTGAGTTTAGGCCAGCCTGAATTACATAGTGAGACCCTGTCTCAAAAGACCAAAAATAGTAATAATTATTCTGTTTAAGCAGAGGAGTTTGAACTGAGCGTGTGTGTATTTGGGGGTGGGATGGGGTAGGGAGCTTAAAATTATTACCCAAATATCATTGTGCCCCTTTCCTCTTTAATAATATTTTTGACCAAGAAATAGGAATAACCTAAATAGTAGGTATTGTGCTAGAAAATCCTGAAATCTTAACAGTATAGGAAGCTTGATGAGCTCATAGTTCAGAGCATGAAACAGCATATAATCCCAGTGCCTGACAGTAGTGTCTCAGTTTGGGAATTGAGGATCACAAGTTCAAGGCCAGCCTGGACTACACAGAGAGAGCTTGTCTGAAAAAAGCAGTTTTTTGGCAATGATCCCAGGGTCTGCTCTAAGGGGGTATGCAGAGGGAGCACAGAGAAGGAGGTAATGTCTTGTTTGGAAGGAGGTAGAGAAGTTTCTAGGAATAAGTGGACCTTGGAGGATGATGAGTCAGAGTCACTGGGTATTGTGGAGGTTCTGGGAATGATGAGCAGTTGGGAAAATTCTAGGAAAACGGTAGAATAAAAAGCTAAAGACATCTTGGTCATAAAATATAAAGAGCTTTTGTGCCATTTGGAGCAAACTATAACCGGGAGCTGTTAATGGATCGTAAACAGTGATTGATCAGCTTTAGCTGTTGCAGATGACTAGATGGACAGGGAGAGTCATTTAGTTACTTCATTGATAGAACATTTATTTTGTGTCTGCCATGGCCAGGCCTGGACATTGCCTGGCAGAGGTCACACTCTGAAAGCCTAGGACCACAGCGAGGTCCCTGCACTGGTTCTTTGAGCAGCGCAGTGGTGGCTCTGGGAACTGGTTAGAGTACCTGCCGCCAGCCTACTGCAGCCCTGCTGAGGCAGTACCGGGGGCAGGCCCAGCAGTAGTGTTTAACAAGCCCTCAGCAATTCCAGTGGTTGGTGTCAGGATTGCTGGGCAGCTAAGGAAGAAGGAATGTTGCTGGCTTAACCTAAGGATGCCGCAGCAAGGTCACAGAGAAGCCATGGAGTTGAGAGAAATCCTGGGGTCCCACCCATATGCCTTAGGAGGGAAGGCTTTCTGGTTTGGGCCACTGGTAAGAGATGGAGCCACTGTGATTCCACATGTGCCTTTCTTTCTGCTCTGCCCTTTTCCACGAACCGCACTCTGTCACATACCTCCCAGCCTTTTCTCATTCGCATAGCACACAGTGGCAGGGGGAAAGGGGCTGCTTGAGGTGGAAAGGGAGCAGCTGGTGGGACTGAAGCTGTTGGTGTTTCAAGCTTCTAAGCTGAGCCGCAGTCGCAACCCCAGCACTCTGCTGGGGAGTTTGGCTTCTTGGACGGTGCTGAGAAATGGAGGTACTCACTAACTTTGGTAATATAAGGCAGCCCTAGAAGAATTTATACCCTTGACTCATTCATTCCTTTCTTGAAATATCTCCCAAATATATAACAAAAGAGAAGAAAGCCATTGTATCTTATGTGTAATAGAGGAAGCCACCCACTCTGGGTGGTAGGTGAATCATTTTTGTGTGTGGAAGTTCGCACTGGCATTGGAAGCTTGTGAATGTAAAACCACAAAGAGACATTCATTGGACAGCATCTAGTGAGTGTCAGCTGAGGATGCCATGGTGAGCAGCAGGGGGGGCCCTGCCCTGGTGAGCCTCTAGAGGGCATCAAGCAGCCAGGTGACCTGCTGCTTCAGTCAGTGACTGGTGTTTGACAGAGGCCAGTGGACTGTGCAAGGGCCAGGCATCTGATGTCTAGGGAGTGAGACCATGGCAGTCATGAGATCTAAAGGGTAAGTAGCCAGGGGATAGGCGCGGTTTAAGAGTGAGCATGGTGCAGCTTGGGGGGGGGGGCAGCAGGGAGCTGAGCCAAGGGGCCCAGCTTATGAAAAGGGTGGAAATTCCATGTATCTCCAGCTCAGAAGCTTCTGCCTCACTCAGAGGGCAGCAGGAAGTTATTTCCAGCAAGGAAGGCTATTTCGTGCTGTGTTGGATGCCTCTCTGTGGCTGTGGTGTGGAGGATGGATTGAAATGAGCAGGAATGCAGCCCTTAGGCCCATGCATGGGGTGGCTGCTATAGCAGCCTAAATAGGAGTTGACAGTGCCCTGGACCAAGCTACGGGCCCCAAGTGAGGGGGCAGGAATGACAGGGCCCAGAGGGCTGATGAATTTTTTTTAAAAAAATGGAAGGGAAGTAGTGCTTTGATCTGCTAGGATACTAGAAATAGAAGCATTCCCATGGCTGTTTGAAAATTTGCTGGAGGCCAGACCAAGTGGCTGCTGTGGTGTCAGGACCCAGTGAACGCTCATTTCCATGCCTTGTTTCTTTCCAGGTGCTGTGATCCACCTCTGGCTGCCATGAAAGGGTTGCTGGTGAGATGCAGAGCATGGCCCAGGCTGGCCACCCGCACCCCCCAGCTCTGCAGGCCCTTTCTCTATAGATGTCAGCACTGTGCCCCAGGGAGAGGGCAGCGCCTGGTACTGTCCGGCATGTTCCAGCCACAGAACCTGCGGGAAGACCAGGTGCTGTCCCTGGAGGACAGGCCCAGTAATCTGACCTGTAAGAGCCAGCGGCTGATGCTGCAGGGCGGCCTGATCCTCCCAGCAAGCCCCGGCTGTTACCACCTCCTCCCCTACACTGTCCGTGCCATGGAGAAGCTGGTGCGGGTGATAGACCAGGAGATGCAGGCCATTGGGGGCCAGAAAATCGACATGCCCAGCCTCTGCCCAGCGGAGCTCTGGCGAGCCACTAGCCGCTGGCAATTGATGGCCAAGGAGCTGCTGAGGCTTAGGGACAGGCATGGCAAGGAATATTGCTTAGGACCAACTCACGAGGAAGCCGTTACAGCCCTGGTTGCCTCCCAGAAGAACCTGTCTTATAAGCAGCTTCCATTCCTGCTGTACCAGGTGACAAGGAAGTTTCGGGATGAGCCCAGGCCCCGCTTTGGTCTTCTCCGGGGCCGAGAGTTTTACATGAAGGATATGTACACTTTTGACTCCTCCCCAGAGGCTGCTCGGCAGACCTACAGCCTGGTGTGCGATGCTTACTGCAGCCTGTTTAACAGGTTGGGGCTGCGATTCATCAAGGCTCAGGCAGATGTGGGCAGTATCGGGGGCACCATGTCTCACGAGTTCCAGCTGCCAGTGGATATTGGAGAGGATCAGCTTGTCATCTGTCCCAGCTGCAGTTTCTCAGCCAACAAGGAGACTCTAGACTCATTACAAACAAACTGCCCTGCCTGCCAGGGCCCTCTGACCGAAACCAAGGGCATCGAGGTGGGGCACACCTTCTACCTGGGTACCAAGTACTCTTCCATTTTCAGTGCCCAGTTTGCCAATGCCCATGGTGAACTGTCCCTGGCTGAAATGGGGTGCTATGGCCTGGGTGTGACACGGATCTTGGCTGCTGCCCTTGAAGTTTTGTCCACAGAAGACTGCATCCGCTGGCCCAGCCTACTTGCCCCTTACCAAGTCTGCCTCATCCCTCCTAAGAAGGGCAGCAAGGAGGCAGCGGCCACAGAGCTCGTAGAGCAGCTGCACGATCACATCATTGAAAGGGCCCCTCAGCTCCGAGGGGAGGTTGTGCTAGATGACCGGACCCATCTGACCATTGGAAGCAGACTGAAAGACGCCCACAAACTGGGCTACCCCTTTGTGATCATTGCTGGCAAGAGGGCCCTGGAGGTCCCTGCACATTTTGAGGTTTGGTGCCAGAACACCGGTGAAGTAGTCTTCCTCACACAGGAAGGAATCGCCGAGCTCCTGGCCCAAGTGCAGGTTGTCTGAGTGCCCCGTGCCATCACCGTGACACTGCACTTCCTACCGCTTCCCTGGGCATTAGTCCAGAAACAGGGCAGCTTGTGAGGGTTACACCACTGCAGGGAAACCAGTCTTTATCTACCCATTTACTCAGATTATTTGTACGGAAAGTTGTTAACCCAGTCACTTTCTCTTAAGCTGGCTGTGCACCGTATGCCAGTCCTTTGGGGAAGCTTCTTGCAGAAGTCTGAGAGGCAAGAAAGGCCAAGTTCTAGTCCTGGCACTTAGGCAAGTCCCTTCCCTTCTCTGCCAAGTTCCTCATCTATAGGACAAGAGTGGCTGAAGGGCAGGGTTCCCCTCATCACACTCCATCCTGCCAGTCTACCATGGGTCTCTGGCTGCGCTCGGTCCAGGAGAGCAGGGCTGCCAGGTCTCCCCCACTGTGAAGCTGAGAATCAGGAGATCTGCTACCTGCTACTGGCTTAACCTCCCCATCTGTAACAGGAGACAATGTAACTAGATTCATAAAGTCCTTGCAGCTCCCTGCAAATGGCCTGTGAAAGGGTTTTGGCCCAGACAGGACACTGTAGCCAGAAAAGCCTCAACCGGAAGCAGGAAGCCCTAGCTTCCTGCCCCTGGAAATTTACATATGGCTCCAAACCTAGGACCAACGGGCTACCTGTGCATCCCTAATGCCCTCCTTAGGTTCCACCCCAAATGGAGGCTATTTACATACCCCCACGCCACGTGTCCGCCTGAGAGATCACCGGCCTGGGGGGTGGAGATACCATGCCCCAGGGGGTCGGGGTGTCTCTCCCCACATTCCCAGAATAAAGGTTATTTATATTTCATACTTATCTTTTCAGCTGCCGCTCACAGTTCTATCAGCCTGCTAGCCCAAAAAGGGCCTCTGAAGTCCTGGCCCTACTTAGGTGGCTGAAGCAGTGAGATCACGTTCTGTTGATTGAAGTCAAACTTGGAATGAGCCTTTCGGGTTAACTTGAAATGTTGGCTATTTTAACAGCACCCAATAGCTTACTACATATTATTTTTCTGCTGGTTCCACACTCAAAGGGGGGGGGCAGTTACAATGTGTTTCATTTCTTAGGTATTGGACAGCAGGTTTCAACTCCACAGTAACCCTGTCCTGGGGGCAGTGGTGGGTCCCAGAGCCACAAAGAGAGTGACTGTCGAGAACTGTCTGTGTCTGAACTCTGTGAGAAGCTAGCAGCAGGCCTGAGCTGCCCCCTCAGTGCTGCCTGCCTTGGTTCTGCGCCTGCTAGGTTAGGAATATACTCAGAATATACTCTGGGCCCCACATGCCCAGACTAACGAGCTAAAGCCAGCTTGCCTGGCGGCTTCTGGAAGAAACTCTTCCCTGCACCTTGGGCAACCTGTGTCACATAGCTTCTGTTCTGCAGCTATTGAGTCTAGAGTCGTGTCCTCCGTGAATGTGAGGCCAGGGGCCCCTGCACATTCCTAGGGCACGAGGCCTGTCTCCACAACTGCCTCACTTGTGATAGAGCTACCTGACAGCTGTTCCGCCCCTGCTGATCCTGCTAGAGTAACCCTACCCCCAAGCATACCCATCAGGTTTCTTTCCACTAAGCCCGCAGGGCTCCCCGGCCGCCCTTTGAAACTATAGATCCTGTTGAGTCCAGATTCTCAGGCCAGGAGAGGGTTCTGAGAGCCTGCTTAAAAGGGCTGGACTAAGAGCTGGGGATTTAGCTCAGCGGCATAAATTCCTGCCTTGCAAGCAGGCAGTCGTGAGTTCATTCCCCGGTACCAGTAAAAATGAAAAAGACCAAAAAAAAAAAAAAAAAAAAGGGCTGGACTGTGAGGGAGAACGGTTTGACCTTACTGCTTGATGGAGTCACCTGGGTTCATAGAGATTTTGGTCCCCTGAAATATGGCCTGGCCATGGGGAGGGGTCACTTCAGCATTCACTTCATTGAGCAGCTTTTGGATGCTTTCAGTGGGAATTAAGACTTGTGCCAGCTCTCTGCTCTCAACATTTTGGTTGTTGGGCCTTGCCAGTGCCGCTGTAAGGTTTCTAGCCCTTGACACCATGCTGGGCAGGTACTGCTATTTTGTAGATGAGGGTAATGGTTGATACATTGTGTCAACCTGAGTTTAGACACAAGCAACTCAATGGAGAGCCAAGGTACTTTGTAAACATCCTCATCCTGTGCAAGGGAAGGTTATAGAGATGGTGTGATTGCTACACCTGCCCTAGGAGGTGGTAGCCTCCATACACTATAAGGAAGGAAAACAGGCTTGCGCTCCGTTTTTTTCTTTCTGTTTTTGCTGTCTTCCTCTGCCTTAAAGAGCTGATTATGGACTCAAACCTCCACAAACTGAGCTAAATAAACCTTAATTTTGGATATTGGATAGTTTGTCTCAGCAGTGAGAGAAAAGTAACTAAGATAATGAAACCTGAGTCTCCATTAAGCAACTCACTAAAGGATTCACTGCAGATAAAGAACCACCAGGATCTGGGCATGGGCTAAACCTGCCCTTCCCACTACACTCCTTGGCCTCTGCCTAGGCCAAGAGACTTCAATAAGCAGAACTGAATTTAGGTTTATCTAATCCATCAGCCTCAAGTGTATAAGAAACTGGAGTTCATGCAAAGGCTTCTTTAACCTTTTTTGGCCTTAAACATGTGCTCCATAAACTTGCTTATTCATGGAAGGTTAGCCTAATGGCACTTTTAAAAAGCCAGATGCCAGGTACAGAAAGCCGGTTCATTTTAAACTCCATAAATGTGCACATCCTGGGCTATCCTGAGGATGATGTAGTCCTGGAACTTGAGAACAGAGAACTTGGAACCAGCTTCTCCAGCCCTGGATCACAGATGGAAGTAGCCTGGGGCAGGCAGGCACTGCCACTCATTCACCATCTGACCAGGTGGGCGCTATGGCCTTTTGCTCAGTCCTGCCACAGGAAGAAAACATGGGCTGACTCAGCCTTTGAACTGCCAGCGCCTCAGAAGCTGCTGAAATTTGGATCTGTCCCTCTGAGTTTTGTAACAGGAGGACAGTGATTCATCCAAGTCAAGCTGAATGAAACTGAGGCACCCTAATCATGAAGTCCGAGTTTCTTCAAGGAGCCCAGAGCAGTGTGATTTGGGGGGAAGCCAGAGCCTTGAAGAGACATAACCCCAGACTTACCACTTAGCGGGGACGTGACCTGAGACAGATTGCCTGCCCTTTGCTCATCTCAGCCTTCCCCGTAAACTCTGCGTTAATGGTGTCTGCCTTGTAGGGTGGTCTGGACAGAGCTCACGTGTATGAAATGTGTGACCTTTTGCCTGCACTTCTCCAGGAGCTTGGGCACTGTGATTAACTTTGTTATCTCAAAACCTGGATCCTGCTTGATAGGATGTTTTATAGCCTGCAGATGTAACACCTGCAGAATGGATTCATCTCCTCAGAGGAAAGAGAATTCAATGTGCCTTTCCTTTCTCATTTCTGAGCTTGGTTTTACCTCCTGCCATAAATTGAGGAACTGGGATGCTGGCAAAATAATAGGTACAGGCCAGAGTTTCACTGCCCATTCCCAGGGGAGTTCTAGGCAACTGGCTGGGAAATAGCAGAATTAATATTTGGGGATAAAGGCTTGTGCATAACAAACTCATCATGTAAACCAAGCTCAGAATGTAAATCCAGGGCTCCATTAATATTCTAGTGTAAGAAACACATGCTGGGCTATGAGTAAAGGAACTTTGCAGAAATCTGTTGAAATGATTGTTTCTTTAACTGCTTGAGTGCCAAGACTTCAGAGTTCCCAAGATCCATTTCTGTATTGAGATGCCTTGAATTGTTAGGCATCCAAGAGTATCAAAGGCTTTATTTTTGGTTCTTGGGATCAAACTCACAATCTTGCACTTGACAGGGAGGCGCTTAGACCACCCGAGCTAAATCCTCAGCCCATCAAAGGCTTTGTTACAGAGTTAGCTAAAGGATGAAGAAATAATTTTCTGTTATTGCAAAGTTCAGTAATATTTGAAAACGAATTCAGGTACTTCCCTTAGTGTAAAACAGTGAGGTGTATCATCGTGTAAGACCTCATTCTGGAGGCAGGAATCAGACTGCTCAGGCCACTCAATGGATGTCACCATGCAAGCCACTTCCTCCCTCTGTGCTTCAACTCCCTGTTCTGTGGCACCAGGCACACAGCACACAGCTGGTGGTCGGCAAGTGGCAGCTGCCCTTTATTAACTGGGATTTGCATGTAGTAGGTGGGCGGTGCACTCTGATCCTGACGCATCCACTCCTGTCCAGCCAGCCACTCTCCAAGCGTTAATGAATTCCCATGGTTGAGTTTAATTGCCCTTGGCTAATTAGAACTGTACAGTGCTAGGAGGGGAGCAGGAGGCACACACTGGGTAACAGTAACTGAGAACCACCAGTCTGCAATGGCAGGGGCTCCCCCAGAAAGCCCATGGGCTAGAGGAATCCTACTGATAGCGTGTCACGTGTTACTGGGATTTGGCTATTGGATCTAGCAGGGATTTTTGCCTATGTGGATTCTTCTAGACAGGCTGGGGACATTAAGTGACACAGTGAATCCCAAGACTTTTAAGTCTGAAGTGAGCAAGGCATAGCAGCTGAGCACACTGCAAACTCCCAGAAGGCAGTGTCCTGTCAGTTCCCAGTTTCTCCTGAAGGGCTGAGTCCTCAATTCATAGCCTGCTCTACTTCTTACTATTAGCTGACTTGGATGCTTACCCTCTCATTAGCACTTTTCCTGTCAGTAAAAGGCAGGTCACACAACTGCCTGCCTCCTACAGCTGTGCAGTGTTGGAGACCACTACAAAGCTGCTCTGAGCAGGATTTAAATTTTACTAATTGGCTTTCTCTATGTTTATCTGTGAGTCTGGCCTAGGCCTAGGCCCCTTGCCTGGCGACGGGAGCTGATTCATAGTAAGTGAATCTCTATGAATCACTGGTCCTGGGTGAGGCCTATAGTGGCCTGTGAGGCCAGAGATACCTCAAAGGGCAATACAAAGCCAAGCTGTGGACACTCTGGCTCCAACCCCAATTAACAAGGCAGAGACTGCAGCTGCAAAGATTACTCCTACAGTCTCACTTCTACCATGTCTTCATGATAAGACAGTGCTACTGAATTGACTTGATTCATGATGGAGACGTCCTTGAAGTGACTCCCAAGGTCCTGCTCATTGCCTGCACTTTCCTCAGTCTCTCCGCCCTTTGTCCTTGGTTCTAATATAAGTGGACTGATCCAGAGAATCCTGTCTTTACCCTCGAAGTCTCGAGCTTAATTAAAGAGTTTTGACCCTCCTGGAGCCCTAAAAATCATACAATTTGTCTCTTTTTATTTAACTTCCGCCATACACTCATTTGGGAGATCAGGGATCTAGGACAGAACCTGACAGTGGAGGGGAGAAGTGAGCCTGTCCACATAAAACACACGGACTGCAGCCGGCCTCGCAAGCTGCTCAGGGGCAGCTACTGTGAGTGCCGAGCCAGGTCATCCAGTGCTGCCCCTGCACTGTGCCTTTCCAAGGTTGCCACCTTCAAGGGTCTCACATCACACCCCACCCCCACTTCTCCCATTTTATGGTCCAAGTCGGACAGCCTCTATATAGTCTGGTGGTGGCAAACCTATGGCACACATGTTATTGTGTTTTCCTTTTATGACAAAGGATGTGAAGTTTTTTTTCCTTAAAACCCGTGTTCAGGTTTAATTGCAGTGTTGGCTTTATGATAAATAAGTGGGTTCTGGGTTGCAGTTTGGATACTCGTCTCTCAAAGGCTCGCCATCACTGGTAGTCTATTTAGAATTAATCACTCATTTCTTTAGGCCATCATTCAGGAATCGAAACAAGCCAGTAGTGAAAAATGCCCACCACATCATTGTATTATATTTGAATCTTCTGTTTTAGGCTTCATATGCTGTAAGAACATACTATATTTTGCTGTTAGGGTCACTTCCAGCCATGTGACAGTGTGACACTGTCTGGCAACATATTATAGCAAGACCAGAGACAAATCTGCACTTGTGCTGAGCACGGGCAGTGCACACAACTCAGGATCCTTGACTCACATTTACAAGAAGTGGGTGAAGCCAAGCTTGGTGCCACACTCTTGTAATCCCGGCAACTGAGAGGCTGAGGCAGGATGATGGCTGCGAGTCTAAGGCCAGCCTGTGCTACAAGGTGAGTTCAAGGCTAGTGTGAACCACACAGCAAGATTCTTGTCTCAAAAAGACAAAAAACAAAACAAAACAAAACCACAGCTCCAGTGCAGTGTGGCAAGAGTGAGGACACATGGGTAAGAAGCCAAGGAAGGCTTCCTGGTGAAGGCAACAGGACCAACCCGAGCATTAGTAGTGGGACAAAAGATCGGGGTGGGTAAGGGAGAGCAAGGGGGAGAAAGACAGCCCAGGCAGAGGAAATGGAATGCACAGGCCCGGCGGCAGGCATGCATGGCAAGTGAATAACACATCACAGGTGAAGCACCTGCCGGGAGGCAAGCTCCAGGTATGTGCTGGATGAGTTCTTTAACCCTCACAGCTCCTGCAGGGGCGGACACTACTGTTGTGCTTAGGTTGAAGATAAGGACAAGGCAAAGGGAGCTAAGCAAAAGGCCTACGGCCTGAAGCTAGTGTGCTCTGGGGCGGGAACTTGAATGCAAGCAGCGCAGCTCCTGGGCAAAGACTCAGCTGCTGCACCCCCCAGCCCATGGTTAAATCGTGTCCAGGATGCTAGGCTCCTGAAGCTGCGGAGGTGGCCAGGGTGCCCATAAATGCTGAGGCCAGGGCAGCCACTGAGGTCTCAGGAGGGATAAGGACAGACTTGCTTTTGGTCATGTCCTCTTCATGCAGACGACAGCACGAGGCTGCCGGAATAGGGGCGGGATAAATGCTGTGGAGAAGCCAGCTAAGCAGGCAGGATGAAGGCTGGGCTTGGGGTGGGGGTGGGGGTGGATGGCCTATCCTGGCTTTGACACTCACTAGTGCTCTGACTGTGCCTCAGTCTCTGAATTTAGAAAATGGACAAAGCCCTCAGAGTGGCTGTCAGGGTTAAGTACAAGAATCCAGTACTACAGGTTCGCAAATTGCCACCTCACTGCTGATTTCAGCTTCAGTGCTGCAATAACTCCCAAATCTCAGTGCTCAATGTAACAAGCATGTCCCATTCCTGTAACAATGCATGGCTGCAGGCAGCAGCTTTGGCTCTGTGTGTTCCAGGCTGGCACCCAGGCCACCTCCACCTGAGAGACCAGACCTCAGCAGAGGAGACACACCACTCTCCACGCTTCTGGACAGCGTTGCTGTCTGCCTGCACGGGCAGCAGGAAGGATGTGCTCCCTGGGAAATGGGGTGGATATAGAAGGAAGGTATACAGCTATAGGTAAGAATATCCAAGATCTTCTCAGAAATGAAGCAAAAATACCTCCTATGACAGTGACCCAAAAGCAAAATTATTTTCCAGTTTATGTTTTGTTTGGTTTGGTTTTCAGTTTTTTGAGACAGAGTGTTGCTATGTACTCCACACAGCCTTGACTCAGTGATTATCCTGCCTCACCCTCCCAATGCTGGGCTTAAAGGTATGCACCTCCATGCCCAACAAGATTTTCCACTTTCAAATGCCTACAGTCCTAGCCAGGTGCAGAGGTATGCACTTATAGTCCCAGGAGGCTGAAGAACAATCACTTGAGCCCAGGAGTTTGAGATCAACCTAGGCAGCACTGTGAGGCCCTGTCTCACAGAGGCACAAAACCCTCACATGTGAAAACTGGAAGTCACTGTCTGTCACAGTTCTCACACTGTTGAGATGAAGGAATAGACAGCTTATGAGGAGCACACAGAGACAGGCCAGGGCTTCCCCAGCCCCAGTCACCCCACAGCACACAGCTTCCCCCTTAAGAGCCAGATCAGCTGAGCCTCCAGGCTTTACAATTCCTCAGAGTTGGTTACGATGCACTGAAGGGGAATCTTCTTGAAGGCTTCTTGTGGCACCTGTCACAATGTCCAGAGTGGTCTCCACAAGTCAGCAAGTCATTGGTTGCTGTGGTAAATGTAGCAGGTAGTCCCTTCAGAGACAGACTGCCAGGACATCACAGCCTGGCACATAGCCATGCCCCCACTGAGGACAGTGATGCCCAGAGAGGCTATAGATCAGGGAATCCAACAGCACCTTTCTCTGCTCTAGGCTATGAGACAATATCCCCAGAGTGCCAGAACCACAGTGCTGGATTCTAGAGTGTCCCCAGTTTTTCAAGAGGTGAGGAAAGTGAGGCAGGCCCATGGCTCGCACAGCCTGCCTCTATCACTTTACCCAGTGCACCTTTCTCCCTTGGAGATAATTGCTGCAAAAAGGAGAGTCCCCCACACAGACCAGAAATGCTGGAGTCAGGGCTTTTACAAAGTACCTGCAGTGGACACAAAAACGAAGAGATGGTGTTAACTGAATTATAACCTTAATCATCCATGGACTCTCCCCAAAACGTTCAAGGTGAAACTCTGGAGGTGAGTGAACGTTAAAATGCAACTCTAGCACATTTGCTGGCAAATCAGCGTGACAGTCTCCCCCTTCCAACCTAGCCAGGACCTTTGGGCCTATTCTCTAGCATCATCTACATCTACAGCTCACAGGACATGAAACTACAAAACATGCTTCCATTTGAGTTCAGAGTGGTCAGGGTGAGCCAGGCCCTGTGCTGAAATCAGAGATTAAAAGGCAAACACACAGAAATCACGTTGTTGCTCTCAAGCTCAGTGCAAGGATCCAGCAGAGACAGGCACAACTGTAGAAGCGTCTGTGCAGTGTGGCCTTAGCCCAGCGAGCCACAGTTTCCTCTCAAGGAGGAACACGAAGGACTTCCTAAAAGATGCCACATCTGAACTTGGTTTTACTTTGGAGAAGGGGGACAGCAAAAGCCAGGACGTTCAGGTAACCAGAGCACTTGCCACTGCTAGGGGAAAAAAAGCAAAGGCAGTGAAGGAGGTTGGAGATGAGCCTTAGTCTCCCAGGTCTAGACGGCCTGCTCCTGGACAGAAGGGCCTGTAGCGTGGCTCAAGGTGAAGCTATCCAAAACCAGTCATGGATCATCTCTTGCGGTAGTAATTTAGAAAGCAATCACTTCTAACAGCATTTACATTTTCTGAGGGTACAAAATTAGTTTTTCTCCGAAGAGCAGTGTGTTTTCTTTTCCTTTTTTTCCCTCAGTACTAGAAATCGCACTTAGGACCTTGCATTTGAAAGGCAGGCACTGTGCTACTGAGCTATATTTCCAGCTTCCATGTGTCTTTTATATAGAGTTCTCCTTCATTTTTTGGAAACAGGGTAGGGGTGGATCTCAGGTTTTTAAAGAATTCTGGGTAATTTTCTGATGGCAGAGAAAATGAATTTGTCCATAAACTAGGAAAAGGTAGATTTGGGACCATGGAAAAATACCACTAACAGATGCACTCATCAGTTGTGAAAAATCTTCCCCACCTGCCTCTCAAGCCAAAGCAGAAGCATCCAAGACCAGTGGGACACCAAGCCTGGCAGCACCTCACCAACTCCACCTGGTCCACCTCCAATCCATCCCTCCTACTTCCAGCTCACCATCAAGCAGGACCCTTCAGATAATAATAAATGCTCTCTGTGACTTAATATACCACCCCCAGGATAACATGTATGCTCCTCAGCAGGACACTCAAGATACGCCTTATGCCCATCCTAACAGCTCTCCAGCCTACTTTCCTACCATACCTCTCCAGAGTTTCCTCCAGTACACTGAAAAGCAGCCGTGATGCGTTCATCTGAACAGGCCACGCTCTTATAGAAGCTGCTGGACAGACAACTGCCATGTCTCACTTGTGACAGCTGATGCCCTCTTGCATCGGGATGTTTGGCACAGTTTACAGGACACTTTGAATTCATATGCACTACAGACTCTCTAGTGCTGGGACATGTGTAGGCAGGCATCTTTACTCTCATACTAGAGATGAAGAAAGAGCCCCAGAGAGGCAGAGTGTGCTCCGGGCTACAAGCAGTGTAGGAAGAGCCAGGGCCCTTTTCACTTAGTAGTACCTGAGGACACAGGTACAAATGGGAAAGCAGCACCATCCCAGGTACAAAAGCAAAGCGGCTCTTTCCTCCTGAGACCAGTCCAGTGCCCTCTGCCGGGAAGGCCATGCTACAGCAAATGGGCTTTCATCACACTGCAAACCTGCCTGCTGCTCAGTCAGCAGGCCAGGCCAGCCCCCAGGGCTGGCACTCCACACATACTGTGCCCAGCACAGAAGGGGAGGGAGCACCAGGTGAGCACCAGGCAGAGAAGTGAGACACTGGCTGTACCCTGGGAAGGTGCCTGCGCGGCATCATGAACTGCTCACCTGGGGTGCTGCAGCACCTGCAGCAGGGTGCTCTTGGGAGGTATCCGGTACAGTTCTGTCCTGTCCTCATCCTCAAAGTAGACCTGTAAGATTCATCAGGAACAAATGTCAGAGGCAAATAAAGCACTTCATTACCAAACACGCTGAAGAAGAGTGAAGAGATGGCAGCTGCTCCTAGCTGAGTGCGTGCGGTACAGAGCCAAGGGCATGTGCTTTGCATTCAGTCCTGCCTATGACACCGAGGGAAAGGTTACGGCCAGCTCCATTCTCTACAGGCAGAACCAAGGTGCAGAGAAGGACCTATTTTGCCAGTGTCACAGCTAAACAGAGAATCTAAGACTTGAGCCCAGGCCCATGTAGCCTTCTCTTTCCTAACAATTTAATCCTAGAGCCATCAGATGGGGGGCACTGTTACCCAGAGCAAAGAACCTGGGCAGGTGAGAGAGAAGCTGGTGGAGGGCATCAGAGCCCAGGAGGGGAGAGGAGGAGGTGTACAGGAAGGCTGGGGGTGAGGGTGTCTGAGGTGGATTGGGGAGGGAGTATCCATGCCAAGAGCTGCCAGGCTGAGCAGGCTGAGAAGGGCTTCCTTGTGAGACAGCCGTTGGCAGTGGCATGTCAGAGCCCAAGCAGGGCAGGCAGAGAACCTGTGTGGGACAGCTAAAATGTGGCATCAGGCCACAGGCAGGGAAAGGAGGGCAATCGGGCATGGTGAGGGATGGCTTGCTGTGGGGGACTGGAGCCCGAGCAGGATGAGGACATAGGCGGCTGAGCAGTACAGGCTGCACACTCTGCACAGGATGAGTGAGTAACATACACACACCCTAGCTAGAGGCACTGAGAGCAACCAAAGCATTGATGCCCTCCAACGTACTGATAGCACGTCTACTGACCCAGGATCTTGGCTTCTTAACACAATTCTCCACTAGAAAAAATGGGCAAGTCAGGGCAAGAAAAGCATGACTGGAACCTGCGACATCTTATGCCACCAGAAAGCAAGTGCTTTAAAAGTGGTGACAAATCCAAAGGACACAGAAACAAATTTAAAGGGTTTCCCACTGGCCAACTTCAGGACAATCTGGTCACAAAATAAACCATCATAGGGAACTGGAGATACAGGTCCATGGCAGAATGCTTGCTAGCATGCACAAGGCCATGGAGTCCATCTCTAGTAACGCACAAAGCCCCACAAAGTAAACAATCATAGTAGTAGAATATAACTCATTGAATATAAGAAGAATCATAAAACTACTGATAAAAATGAAAATGTTGAGGGTCTGAAGAGTAATGGAGTATTTCTATCATTTCAAAGTACCTTCTTGTAAAATATTGATCATTATAAAGGCAAGTGAGTTTTTGTACAGGAGAGCAGCTTGGCAGACTCTTCCTGGGGTAGGTGATCAGAGTGGACACCTCGGCACATGTCCAAATGGGAACCAGGCAGCACCCACAGGACAGTGAGGACGCCACATCACTTCAGCATTCTCCAATTCACAGGTTAAAATCAAACAAGCAGAGAAAAGTGTGTGGAATGGTGCACTGACACAGGGGAAGGCACTGGACATGATCACTGAACACTCTGCACTTTTGGAAAGGAGCTAAGGGCTGGAAAGAACATTCATGGGACAAAACAAAACCAAAACCAGGCAGGGCAGTGCACATCTGCAACCCCAGCACTCGAGAGCTAATTGTGAAAAAAAATATCACACACTGAAGTATTCAGGGTTTTGAGACATTAGTTAGCATTTCCTCAAATGATTGGAAGATTGTTTTTTTTACAGTACTGAGGACTGAACCCAGGAGAACTCTAGCACTACCTACACTCCAGTCTTTTCATTTTTAATTTTAGGACAGGGTCTCCCTAAGTTACTTGAGCTGGTCTCAAACTTCTGATCCTTCTGCCTCAGCTCCTCAAGTAGTTAGGATTACAAGTATGCAATACCATGCCCAGTTGAAGATAAATTCTTCATACTGTAAGTTTGTTCAAAAATCTGAACATTGCAATAAATACTACTTAGCCTTAAAAAGTAAGGCTTGGTGGATCCTTGTAATCCCAGCACTGTGCAAGGCTGAGGCAGGAGGATGGAATGTTTGAGTCTAGAATGGATCATTTAAGAGACTTAGTCACAATCTGCCTCAGAATAAAAAAGTAAGAAAAGAGCTGTGCATGTAGCTCAGTGCAAAGTTGAGTTCGACCCCCAGTGCCCCAAAGAATAAAGGTTGACTCGTGCTTCCGTGTGACACATTACATACAACACAGACAAAGATACTGTGCCAAGCGATGTAAGTCAGACACAAAAGAACAAACACTGCACGATTCCACTTCTAGGTGGTACCGAGGGCAGCCACAACCACAGAGACAAGAAATAGAACAGTGCTGCCAGGGACTGATGGGAGAGGGACATGCAGGCCACGCTGCCATGACAGAGAGTTATTGGGAGGGACGTTGCTAAAGGTTGCAAAACAATGTTAATGCTGCTGAACTATGTAAACATTGCAAGTATTATGTGTATTTTACCATAATGTTTAAAAATTTAATCTCTATGCCTCAGCTCCCTCCCTTTAAAAAGTTTCAGAGATGAATGAAACAAAACTTCTCTTACCTCCAGATTATCCGGGCAATATTTTTGCTCTGAGTCCCAAGAGGGCGTTTCAGCAAACATCACCATTAGATGATCAATAAACCTGAGGACATAACACGTACTATAGGCATTAATGACTCACAATCTCCTTTCCAACACCAGGCCCTGGACCCAATTCCCAGAAACAGAAAGGTTTCGTCCATTTTTACAGCACTGCCCAAAACATGTCTATCATCTGTCCCATACATAATTTTTTAAAACAGAATTGAAAGTATTTCTTATACTTAGCCACATTATCAGCAAAAACTCTATGAAATCACAAGTTAAATGTACTACTTATGGCTTTCTAGTTACACTTGAATCACTAACACAGTTTCACACTTCAGCAGCAATGGAGGCCACTCTGCGGCAGATGCACTACTGCGACCGCCAGGCAGTCTCAAGAGGAAATGGGTCCTCACAGACCACCCTCACAGACAGGGCCTGTCCACCAGGCGGTGTGAACCCGGGCTTCTCCTCCTCTTCAGCCAAAGCTCTACCTTCCCCCTGTGCCAAGGCAGCAGGGAGAGGTACCAGGAAGAGCAGGGCTATTCGCAAGGCAGTACCTGGAGTCCTCATGGAAAGCAGAGACAAAGTCCGACTGGGCATATTCTGGGTACAGGAACAGCACGGGCCAGCTCAGCCTGCCCTGGTCATCCAGACTCAGCCTGGCACCACAGAGGTTCCCAGAGCTGAGCCCATCCAGAAAAACCTCGCCAAGACCTTCGGAGGCTGCATCCTCATGCGCAGCAGCAGCTTCAGACACGAGCCTGATACTTCTGGCCTGGTCAAAGACAGAAATGCACAGAAACTGAAAACTTCAGTGTGCAAGGGCACACAAACCCATTTCCCTGAGCTAACAGCATGAGCTCAGAAGGCCAGCTCCACAGGACTCCTCCCCAGTACCAGAGGCCCACTGTGGAGGAGGCGCCATTTTATTAACTTGCCTTCACTAGGCATCGCCCAGGTTCCTCGCCCTCAAGCCTGTTCATGATCTAGAGGGAGACAGCACAGGAGGTGCAACATAGAGCTGTGGAACCGCAGACAAGGATCAATCCAGTCAGAGGGCAGAGTGACTGGAAACGCTGGCCTTGAACAATGACTTCGAAAGGCGGTACAGGCAAAGGCACCAAAAAGACCAAGTGTGCAGCATGAATACAAGCAACAATGTTTCAGCCTGGCAAAGACATGGCTTCCTTCTCACAGAAATGAGGGTCAATCAAGGCTCTGAACAGGAGGGTCATATCTTACGTCCAGGTTCTGAAGTTCCTAGGTTGGCACCAGGAAAGTTACAGGCAATCAAAATTATTTTGGACAATATCCCCTAAAACAGAGGCTGGCAAACTTTTTCTTAAAGCATCAGATAATGTAAGCAAAACAGTCTCAGTTGAAATTAACCAACTCTATGACTGCAGTGTGAAAACAGCCATAGACAAGGTATACACAAGATGGCCGTTTCAAAGTTGTAATTGATGATTACTTTAAATCATCAGTGAAACAGAGCTTTGGAGCCAGGCATGGTGGCACATGGCACGGCAGGAGGATCACCATGAATTCAAGGCCAATCTGACCTGCACATGAGACTCTGTCTCAAATTAAAAAAAAATAAAATAAAGCTTTGGGTACTGCTGAGAGATTCTTAGCGACACTGAAATGCCTAAAATGCAGGGTTGAACTAATACATGAGAGAACAACAACAATAAAAAGTCTGCATGCAAATGTCTAGGCATTCCAATATTCACTCTCATTTCTCCTCTTCTCTCTCTCTACTGGGGATTGAATTCAGGGGAGCTCCATCACTGAATTCTTTTTAATTTTTTGTGTCTAAGTCACCTGGCAGGACTTGAACTTACAGTCCTCCTGCCTCAGCCTCCCTAAGTGCTGTGATTATAGGCATGGACCACCAATCCTAACTCCAATATTCACATTTAAGAAAATAAAACCATTCACTGTGACTGAGGTTTCAATGGAAATGTGGAATATTCTATTCAATTCGTTAATTCCTAGTAACACATTGGTGCTAGGATGGCAAGCGGGTTGGATTTTAGTGGTGCTAAATCTGCAAAATCAACAAGGAACTTAAGCAGGTCCATAACATAACTGAACAAAGAATGAAACCAAAACCTGCTCCACAGTCACTCGACAGGTATATATTTTGTGCAGATGAAGAAGCTCAAAGAAAGCAAAGCAAAATTTGGGTCAGAATATACTTATTTTAAAATGCAAGAAACAGAGGGAAGGGACACAAAGGCTTTTGTTCTGCTGCCTGCCCAAAAGGTTCTGATTCTCTGAGGATGAGCATAATGTAGTGCAAAACAGCAAGGTCTGGCTCTGGCAGCCAGTGGCCGAGCCAGGTTCCTTTACTTCTCTGGGACAACTTTCCCAGCTGGAAACACAGCAGCAAGCCCACCTCGGGTGGCTGCTGTGAAGACTGGCTGAGAGTGCCGAGCCACCAGGCAGTGCGTGTTCTGAGACAGCGCGCAGACTGTGGGACGGCTGACTGCAGAGCCTGGGTTCTGCTGCTCCACTGCCTGCTGCTGCTGCGAAACGGAAATGAACGTTCAGGGCAGGCATCCCAAGAAAGGTTTCCAGCAGGCTTCCAGAGACCAGTGGCTGTCACAGGACCTGAGAACTCACCTCAATGGCCCGGAGCAAAGCTGCATTCTCATCTTGTTCCTTCTTTTCTTTCAGCTTTGCTTTCCTCGTATCTCTCTGTTCAGTTCGCTAGAAATGAAATTCAGACGGGTAAGCCCCAGGGAAGCTGCCTCTTCGCTCACCCAGCCTCTTCTCACCACCCCTGAACAACCACCTCCACTCTCCACCCAGGCCACACTCCTAGGTCACTAGACGTGCGCAAAGCACATTCTGAGGCATCAGGCTCAGGGTCAGCAGAGCTTACCGTCCACTTCCTGTACCTGCAGAACTGGCAGAGGTGCAGGCAGGGGAAGAACCAACTGTAACAGGCGCATTATGTCACTCGGCCCATGTGAACAAAGCTATGAAACACCAAGGGATGGGCCTGTGCACTAGGAAGTGTGCCCAGACCAGTGATGGCAAACCGTTCAGAGCCTCAGTGATACAGACAGCCCCCTGCGACACCCTGAGCTTAGACACATAAGGGAGAGGCCACCAGTAAAGAAGAATAGGCAGTCTCCACACAGGGCCCGATGCCAGGGCAGACAAGTCACCCAGGGAGAATTACAATGTCAATGGTGCGGATGGAACACAGGCAAATACACTGCAAAAACTCCGGGAAGAATCTGGCAGAAGCTGCACTATTATAATCCACAAGAAAAACACCATCCTCCTATTTGATCTGCTGGGCGTATAACTTCTACTTCTGTGTCAACTATTAGTTGTCCTGTCTACCTTCAGGACTGTGAATTAACAGGAATCAGCAAACATTTTCTGGAAAGGGCAAGACAGTAAATACTTTATAGGGTGCAGACCATGTCTGGTCTATGTTGCATTTTTTTTTTTTAATTAGTACCAGGGACCGAACTCATGACTGCCTGCTTGCAAGGCAGGTGCTTACGCCGCTGAGCTAAATCCCCAGCCCCCTGTGTTGCATATTATCTGGTTCTGTTTGTTAGATAATAACCCTTTGGAGAATGAAAAAGATGCTTTGGTCCCAGGATGTAGAAAAACAGCTGGCTGAATCTGCCTGTGTGTCGGTTGCTAACCCTTCCTCTGTAAGGCGCCACCTAGCATCCCTTATCCCGAAGAAAGCTAGTGATTTCTTTTTCTTTCCTTGCTCCCTCCGTTCCTCCCTCTTACCTTCCTTCCCTCCGTGTTTTTCTTTCGTACCAGAGATTGAACTCACAACTCTGCTGCCAGGCTGGCACTGTGTCACTGGGCAATAAATTTACGGAATTTTTGAACATTATTATTCAAATCATTCTTTGTGTGTGTGTGAGACAGGGCCTCACTATGCAGTTCAGGTAGGTCTTGAATTCCCAGGGATGTTCCTGCCTCAGACACCCGAGTGCTGGAATTACAGGTTGCACCACTACACCTGGCCTCTTCAAATCATTCTTTTACCTCTTCTCTGCTCCACCTCTGCAACTCCACTATGCCTATGCTGGTGCATTTCATGGACCTGCACACATCTCTCAGTCTGCCCACATCTTTTCTTTTCTTTTCTTTTCTTTTTTTTTGATACCGGAGATCCAACTCACAACTGCGCACTTGCAAGGTAGGCGCTTATGCCACTGAGCTAAATCCCTGGCCCCTGCCTGCATCTTATCTGAGAAAATCCTTGGCTTTTCTTTTTAAACTTTATGATAATCCTATTGTTTGTCTCACTGCTATCCACTGCCTCAGGAAGCTGGACTCTTAATTGCTTCTAATGGTTTTTTATACCCACCCCCACCCCCAACCCCACCCCGTTCCGCAACACACACATCCATATCCTATGTGAAAAGGCTTTCGGTGCTGGGCAAGCTCCCAGACAAGTCATGTAAGACAGTCTGTGAGTGGATCCTGGACAGGTCAATGGACATTCCCTGGCAGTGGAGCTCTGAAGGGGCTCCTGCCTCCTTTAGGGGCTGCCAGGTCTTGTGTTTTCATCATGACTTTGGGCTATTGTCTTTCAAGGGTACTGTGGAACTGTGGAGGGTGAGCTGGGAAGATCAAATTAAAGTGCCACAGACTTGCTATTTTTACTGGAGCTTGGCCATTTTTCTTGACTAAACACTCCCTAGACTGCTAAAAGTCTCCAGTTCATTTCTAGTTTTAAAAGTTAATTGACAATTTTTGCAAGTTTTCTCACGGGTTTTATGGAAGAGAGAACTTTTCAAGGTCTTTAGCACACCATTTTTACTAGTATCAGCCTCTATTTCTTATCTACCTGCTCGATATACTCTATGGGGGACACTGTTATGTCCATCCATTTGTGGACTTAGGGCTTTTTTCAGTTGTCGATTTTTAATTCATTATTTTAAAGCTGTTATCAGTGCCTATATATTAACAATCACTATTCTTACATTCTTTTAGCAGGACAGGGAATTACTATTCTTTCATCATTTAAAAAATGACTCACTTTTATCTCTGGTAATATTCATCACCTTCCTGTCTACTTTGGTATTAATGGCGCCAAATGAGATCTACTGCTTCACACACAGGAACCTAGCACCAGCGTATACCCAGACACAGAAGAATACTGCTATTCAGCAAGTGATGCTAGGCTTTGGGGCCCTGAAGTCACCCTTTAAATGTGTTTGTGATACAGAACCAAGAAGCCTTTTTTAGGCCGTGGAGGTTTTGGTGACAGCCTTCTACATCAGCCCTCCTGACTCTGCTCCCATAAAATTCTGACTCACACTCAATCACCAAGGCTAACATTTCTGTTACTGAGCCACAAGGGTCCACAGATATCTACCTTTTCTGCATCTCGTTTGACCAGAATGACTTCCAGCTTCCTGTTTAGGACAAGCTGAAGGCCGCCAGTGGGCACAGGCCCAGCATTGCCATTCCATTCCATTCCACAGGCCCAGCACTGAGAAAAGCAACAGACCAGGCATCAGGAGGCCAAGGGAGCTTCGGGGTCTGCCCTGAACAGACCCATGAGGCAGGGTGCACAGATGTAAGCCTGGGGTGTCTGCCTGGATCCGAAGTCCTGCTTCACCACAGCTGTGTAAGTGAGTGGCTTCCTGTCTCCCTGCACTTGTGCTACGTCACTAGTAAGAGGAAGATTAGAATAGTTCCTACTTTACAGTGCCAATTTATGCTCTAGGCTGGTTCAACATACATGAAAAACTTAAACTAGTGCCTAGAACACATACACGGTAAATACCTTCTAAATGTTGGGTATGGTTTTTCATATTAATACTCTTCAGCGATTACTGCTGCGTTTTTTTCATTTTAGTAGATATATGCCAGATACATTTCAACAGCACTTTGCAGGTGTCTAATGATGGGAATTGTATAGCATTGTAAAAAGTAAGGTTTTGTTTAAATGGTTAGCTATTTTCCCCCCCACACTTTTTTTTTTGGTACCATGAATCAAATTCATGACCTCGCACTTGCCAGGCAGATGCTGTACCACTGAGCTATATCTCCAGCCCTCTTTCTTTTTTAATTTTTTTTTTGGTCTTTTTATTGGTACTGGGGATCGAACTCACGACTGCCTGCTTGCAAGGCAGGCGCTTATGCCACTGAGCTAAATCCCCAGCCCCTTTTTCAATTTTTTTGAGACAGGGTCTCAAGCTGTAATTCAGACTGGCCTTGAACCCACTGCGTAACCCCAGATGTCCTTAAACTTGCAGCAGTCCTCCTGCCTCAACCTCCTGAGTGCTGGGATTACGGCATGTACCACACCTGGCTCCTCTTCTCTATTTTAAGAGGTATGAACAGTACACAGATAAGCTACAGCCTGGAACTCAATGTTGTTTCCTATTTATTCAAATCCTAATAGCCACTTTTCAGGGTCTTAGCTATACGCTCAGAAATGTGCTAAAAAGAAAATTACACACATGCTCCCATTTAATCCTTACCAGTCTTTTGGATATATAATGTTCCCATTTTCAAAAATTCAGAAATATCTGAATTTTTAAGTCTGTCCACTTCATCCAAGGCAAAAGCAGTGTGCAAGCACAGGTCCACTGTGGCACCTCTCGAGGCTCTGTCTGCAAAGCTCTCCTCCCCTAGCAGCATTCAGCTCGGTAAGCCTTGGCGCAGTGTTTGCAATTAGGCCTGGGCATCACCTCCCTCTCCAAACTTCTCTACTCTCCATCTATAGCTGGGCTTGGCAGGGCAAGGTCAGCACCACTACTGCTACCCACCTCTGCCTCCCTCGCTTCTGTCAACGTGTCTGCGCCCTCCCGAGTTCCAAGGACAGGGGCTGCTTTAGGTTTGGTCTTTTTTCTCCTCTCAGTGCCAGGGATCAACCTAGGGCCAAGTCACATCCCTAGGGCCTAGGTTTTGTCTTTAAAGGGGAAAAACTTTATAGTAACCTGAGAGACAACATGGTGAATGCTAATTAATGCTCTGTTACTTGGGTTTGTTTGTTTGCTTGTTTTAGTTTTTTTTGAGATATGGTCTTGCTATGCAGTTCAGATTGGCTTCAATTTGCTATGTAGCCTAGGCTGGCCTCAAACAGTGATTCTCTTGCTCAGCCTCTAATTAGTGCTAATTAGTAAAGGCAATTGTCTGCCCACTATCACCAACCTTCAGCTTGTCTGCTTTAGCCCGCACTTCCAGAAGCTTCTTCTCCTTTGCATCTATATGCAGCCCTTCATCACACCAGCTCACAGCCTCAGCATAGTGTTTCAGTTCTAGATGGCACAGTGCACCTGGAGAAACCATAGCCTTTAGGGTCCAGGAACAGTACCCATGGGCCAGCCCACCCCATCTACCAGCCAACTGCCTGGAAGGAGGGCAGCAGCTAAGGCCTTGGACGTCAGTACCCAGACAAGCAAGAACATTCTCTGCATCGTAGTCAGAAATATCGCTAGTGCTCACTAAGCTCAGAACTCCTCCAAGCCTCCTTAGCATTAAGCACAGTAAAAGAAGAGAAGGATATAGCTTAGTGGCAAAGAACAAAGGATCTGGAATCCAGAGGGATATGGGCTGGAAATAAGAATAAAACTTGGACAAAGTATTGAGAATCTTAGAGCTTCAGGTTTCTCATCTACAAGTGGGAAAAATAGTCTATCTCAGATGAATTTTAAACATAGAGGATAAGCAGAATTTATCAAGGCATTCATCAAGATAGCAGCAAGATCAAAGATGTGTTGCTAGTCAGGGATAGTGGCACATGCCTATAATCCCAGCACTTGGGAAGCTGAGGCAGGAGGATCACTGTAAGTTCATGGCCAGTCTGGGCTACAAAGTAAATTCAAAGCCACTCTGCAATACACAGTAAAACCGTATCTCAAAAAACCAAAAAAACTCTATCTTAAAAGAAACAAAAAGAAAAGCAAAAATCATGTTATGCCTTTTCTAATTTTGTTCAAGGCCATCAGTTCAAACGGCTTGTCCTGTTTTTAAAAAATAATGTTTTGCCCAGCAAGGTGGCACACACCTGTATTCCAGCACTCAGGAAGCCGAGGCAGAAGAATTGCTACGAGTTCCAGGGCAGCCTGGGCTACTAAGAGAGTTCGAGACAAGCCTGAACTGTATAGCAAAACTTCATCTCAAAGACCAAAAGAAAAAAAAAAGTGTAATAAAGGGTACAGTGGTACATGTCTATTATTTTAGCTACTCAGGAGGCTGAAGTAGAACTGCAAGCCTGAGGTCAACTGGGATTTAGCAAGACCCGGTCTCAAAAATAAAAACCAAAAAGGGTTGGGAATGTAATTCTGTGATAGAGTGTCCTTGGGTTTGATTCTGAGTACCAAGGGGAAAATGGTTTTAACTCAATCATGTTCATTTTTCTCTAGCTTCTTCAGGCTTTCCACAGCTGTCAGTATCAGAATTATAAAGCTCTAAAGGTTTAGATTTCAAAAGAGTCCAGAGCTTAGCAAACAAGTTCACGAGTTCAACCCCCAATACAAAAAAAAAAGTCTAGGGGCTGAAGATTTAGTTCAGTGGTACAGCACCTGCCTAGCAACCATCAAGTTGTGAGTTAAATGCCTGGTGCCCTCCAATTAAAAAAAAGTCTAATCCCATCTTCCAGAGATAAGCAAACTGACACTCAGAGTAGGTGTCACAATAAGATCACAGAAAACTGGCCAGGTGTGGTAGCTCACACCTCCGTCCCACTACTCATGAGGGTTACCAGGAGTTGTGAGACCCTGTCTCAAAAAAAATAAATAAAAAGGTAAAACTGACCATGGAATCAAGGATTACAGACTTCTTCCTTGAGGCTAGTTTCACAGACTATACATGTCAATCTTTATCCAGTACTTCCTTTCTCTACAGCTGAGGGAGGGACATGGACCTGCTTACCATCCTCCAGCCATGGACACTACAGAGGCATAACTGTAAAGTATTTTAAGCTGGTCCATGGGAATACAGGGGAGATATAAGATGAATAAATTAAAGTTTGTAGAGCACCTATGAGCTTCTCAAAGAAAAGGTAAAGAGGGCTGGGGCTTTAGCTCAGTGGCATAAGCACCTGCCTTGCAAGTAGGCGGTCGTGAGTTCAATCCCCAGTACCAATAAAAAAAAAAAAAAAAAAAGAAAGAAAAGAAAAGGTAAAGAATAAACGTAATAACAGCACAATGATTACAGAGAAAGGTCAGACGACAAGAGAAAAAAGAATCTGGGAACATCTCAGCATCAGAGTTAACAGCAAAGGTCTTATAACTTATCTTTTAATTAACATTAACATGGCATTTGAAAATCTTGCCTTTCATTCAGCTAACCTGGAAAAATATCAGAATGTGGCTTTGGAATTGCTTTGTTTTAATTAATTGTTTTCCTTATTAGTTTAAAATGAGGAGTTTCAAATTCTATACAAACTCTTACAGCATAAAGGGTTAGATTATTCTCTGAGGGATTCTTTTTTTTTTTTTTTGTCTTTTTCCTTTTTTTAATCGGTACCAGGGATTGAACTCATGACTGCCTGCTTGAAGGCAGGCGCTTATGCCGCTGAGCTAAATCCCCAGCCCTCTGAGGGATTCTTTTAAAATGGCATGTTGTTCTTGACAAGCTATAGGAACTTAATATCAAGATTACAAAAGTAAGGTGAGTTCAAAGCTTTAAATGTCAGTTTTAGGTACAGAGAGTGCTGGCTTTCCCAGCAATAATTACAGGACTGCAGCTCTGTGAGACTTACCTCTCATTATGGCTTTGAGGTGGTGGGGCTTTAGCTTCCGGGCAGCCATCACATCATTTAGAGCAGAACGAACATTGCCTAGCAAAAGTCATGTAGTGAAAGAAAAAACAAGTTTTGAAATCAAAATCTATCCAAAATATGTATGCACTGACAAAGATATTCTTGTACAATCTAGGAGAAACGTAAACCACAGCAACTGTGTTTAAAAAATATATAGTTAGGGGCTGGGGATTTAGCTCAGCGGCATAAGCACCTGCCTTGCAAGCAGGCGGTCGTGAGTTCAATCCCTGGTACCGATAAAAACGAAAAAGACAAAAAAAAAAAGAAAAGAAAAAAAAAAAAAAAATATATATATATAGTTGTACTTCCTGAACCTTGGGGATGTTTACAATACCAGTTAATCTATAAAAGAACTATAACTGCTAGTGAGCATGTGAAAAAGCATTCACACCCACTTGTGATTAGGAAATGAAAATCACCATCAAGTTGGCAAAAATTAAGGACAGATAATATCCACTGCTGGTCTGCACCAGGAAAACAAGTGAGTAAATTAGAAATCAAACTAGTGTGTACTTTGTGCATATACTTTAACCCAACAATTTTCTTCCAGGAAATTAACTTCAAAAATATTTGAATAAGTGCACAAGAATAAATATAAAAGTCTGTTAACTACAGAACTACTTTAATTATAGAACACAGGACAGTTACCCAATGAGAAGAAAAGTTGGGCAGGCTCACATCTTCCAGCTTCTACCTGAAACACTACTCAATGGCTTAGTATTTCCCTGTAAGACATTTCACTTCTAAACTGTCTCCCAATGGTCAGCAAACATTTCCTGTAAATGGACAAGTTTTACATACTTTGTGATTCCCAGGTGCCAAGTGGCCTATCACATGGATTCCTGAGTGTTTTTACAGTCTTTTATAAACACAAGAGCTCCCAAAACTTCTGGTTAAAGGTAATATACTGAACATGTGCATTTAACTGAACCCCTCCTGACACCCCAAAAACCATAAACTCACAAGAGACAAAGATAACACGAAGAACACAGATCACATTTTAAAAGGTGAAAAAGAGACAAAAACTGATTGATACACTGTCTTGAAAAAACTTAATTCTAAACCAGGCATTGTGGCATGCACCTGTGATCCCAGTACATGGGAGGCTAAAGCAGGATAAAACAGGAGGATCATAGTGAGTTCAAGGCCAGTCTGAACTACACAAGGAAACTCTTTCTCAAAAAACCAAAAACAGATGAACAAGCAAACTTTCTTTTTTTTTTGTACCAAGGATCAAACTCATGACCTCGTGCTTGCCAGGCAGGTGCTTATGCCACTGGGCTAAATTCCTGGCGCAAACTTTAATTTTAAACAAGCAGAATAAAGCCTAAGGACTACTAAACTATATTCAGAAACAACATAGCACTCAGGATTTGGGAACTGATGGCACCAGGTACCCTGGAAGTGGGAGTGAAGGTGGGCTGAAAACCCAAGTAGTCGGCTTCCTGTATTTTCACACCTCTGCTATTGCTGCAGCCTATTCTTTTTTGATTCTGTGAAAGTCTGAGTGCTTATTTTATGCAGGAAATAAAAAGAGAAGACCTCTGCACAACAGTCTAGCAAAGCAAATACTAAATGTCCAGTCATTAGCTCTATTCTACTATTTGGCTCTCAAAACACCAACAACCAGAATTTCCCAAAAGAGAAAACAATAAACACAGAAAGAAAAGTAAGAAATAATTTATAATAAACTTCGTAAAAACACGAGTTTCCAAACCAAAAAGGTTCACTGAATACCCAACACACAGGACCATACCAAGGCACAATGTTTCAGCACACTGAAGGTAAAAGAAAAATTCTATAAGCTTTCAAGGAGAAAAAGACCAGAATACCATTTGTAAAATTAGGAATTAGAACAATTTTACACTTCTCAACAATACTGGAAGCTAGGGGAAAAAAAAACACACACACACACACACACACACATGTGTGTGTGTGTGTGTGTAAATTCTAAAGGAAAATGATCCCTACCTCAAATTCTGTACTTAGCCAAAAAATCAAATAAATGTGAGAGTAAACTAAAAGTACTCCTAGACATACAAGATTTAAGAAACTTACTTTCATTTTTTTTTTTTTAGCGGTACCGGGGATCGAACTCACGACCATGCACTTGCAAGGCAGGAACTTATGCCACTCGGCTAAATCCCCAGCCCCAAGAAATTTACTTCCAATGCTTCTTTCCTCAAGAAGAAACAGAAGAACGTGTTCCCAAAACACTGGAGTGCACCCAGAAAGACAAATTGTGGGACTGAGAGAACTGGAAGCAAACACACAAACAGCTAGTGAAGTGTCTCATGGTGACAGAAATGCCCTCAGGCCCAAGAGCAGCGAGTCCACACTGGAGTGGGGCACAAGGATCCAGAGAGTCGCCACCCATTACAATGAAGAAGGCATAAGCATGGTGGAAACCAAGCAAATACAATAATTAAGACAGCTGCTAAAGAACTGGGAAAAAGTTTTATTACAACAGGAAATGATTAAAACACTCAGCATGGTTCAGCTGAGATGATCCTTTACATGACCGTAAGTGAAAACACCGAATACCACAAGGGCCCAAACACCCTGGTGCAGACTGCAGGACAGGCTCTGCACGGCTCTGTGGGGCAGTGGGGAGAGAGCACAGCACTGACTTCCTTGGGAGGGAAAAAATGGCCAGTGCCCAAAAGTGAAACATTAACGCAGCAGCATAACAATAATTCAGTAGTATGAAAAGAAATAGCAGAGCCGGAATTTAGCTCAGCAGCATAAGCGCCTGCCTGGCAAGTGGTGAGGTCATGAGTTCGATCCCCAGTATCAAAAGAAGAAAAAAAAAAAGAAATGGCTAAAATGATTGTAAATATTTGCCTCTAGGAAGCAGAAAACAGTAGTTAAAGGACTGATGCTTTTCAAACATGACTTACAGAACTATTTGACTACTTAAATTATGTGCATACAGTGATGCAAGTCAAGAGTAAGTTTAAATCTAGTGCCATGGCGCAGACCTATAATTCTAGCTAGGCAAATAGACTAAGGCAGGAAGATTGCAAGTTTGAGGCCGGACCCAACTCAAAATAAAAAATAAAGGAGTAGTGGCACATGCCTGCAATCCCAGCATTCAAGAGGCTGAGGCAGGAAGATCACTGTAGCCTGGGCTACAAAGTGAGCACAAGGCCAGCCTGAACTGAATAGCAAGACTCTGTCTCAGTAAGACAAAAAAATAAAAATAAAAATAAAAATAAAAAGGTTATTATTATGTACCTACTCCTTTAGGAGTACATGCAGTTTTTTTTTCTTCCAAGATGCTTTTGATTTTATTGTATCCTTTTGAGTTCCTCATAGACAGGAATTATACAGCTCTTGTTCTGAGTATAGTACTTACAATACAGTAAATGCTTAATATATATTTATTGAATAAATAAGTAGAAGAATGAAACTCTTTTAGGGAAAGGTCAGGTCCTATTCATCTTGGTGAAAACATGTCTAGCCCAGAAAAACAACTCCAGTATGTCTGGTGAATGAAAAAAAACATATTCCTCCAGAAGTTAGAACATCAAGTTTCAATAGCCAGGCATGGTGATACATGCCTGTACGCCCAGCACTCGGGGACCTGAGGCAAGAAGATCATGGTAAGTTCGAGACCAGCATGGGTGACAAAGTAAACTCAAGGCCAGCCTGAACTGCATAGTGAGAGCCTGTCTCAAAAAGACCAAAAACAAAACAAAACAAAAAAACAAAAAGAAAATCAAGTTTCTAGTATAGGTTCTGGCAGTAATCAAAAGGTTTCTTTGGGCTTACATAAAATTTGGGGCTTGTTGGCCCAGACAATTTCTAAATTTCTGTACTGCTCAAAACTTTTACAATTTTCTACTGAGACCTGGTAAGAAAGAAAATACTCTAAGCAGACCTGGCTGGGCAGGACCTCTGCTCAAATTGTGATGAGCTCCTCCAGACTCACTCCAGCTGGACTGTAGCACCTGCGCTGGCCCCTCAGAAATGCCTGCGGTCGCTCTCAGTGCTCTCTAAACCCTGTGTAAGAAATGGGTATCTGGTCCTACCCAGAGGTCACCAGCAATCAGTATTTCCCAAAGTTCTGCCTGGGTGCTAGGGTTACCCAAAGAGAAGGCTTAACAAACTTAAGAAACCCAGGATGAAGTCCTTGTTGTTCTCTGTTTCAGTGCCTTTGACATGTTAATGTATACTGTAAATCTCCAACCAAGAAGCAGCATTTCCCAAACTTCCTCCAAGAAATAGTTTTTACCACAAGAGTTGCACAGAATACTCTGAGCAATTCCCCTTAGACTCACCTAAAAATCTCTATTGTCTTAATCCTTCTGCATCCTTGAGAAGAAAAAGACCAGAAAAAAAAAATCCAATATTTTTTTGAAAGAGAAGAACCATTTGGGCTCAAAAATCCTGGAGTAGGCTGAGGATAGAGCTCAGTGGCATAGAACCTGCCTGGCAAGCACAAGGTCATGAATTTGATTCCCAGTACCAAAAAACTCCTGGAATACATTGATTCATATATCAAATATCTTACCAGAGTGACTAAGCCATTTTTTGGTCAGTAAAAATTACACAATCCAATGTTTCCCTTCTCATCATGTCTATCTGGAAGATGAGAACTCAACAGAATAAACTATCCTCAGACGAGGCTTCTGATATGAACCCCACCCCCTCACACATATTCCTAAACCCTCTACTAGTCATGACAGTGGCTTTTACAGTGAGCTAATTCCTTAGAAAGCACTTAATAATGAAATAAATTACCCAGATAGTACTGTGCTGCTGCTCGGTTGGTATAAAGAATGGCATTCAAATCCGGATCTACACATTTCTTTTTCAACCCTTCAGTGTATGAAATGACAGCTTTCTTATAGTCTTTTTCTTTAAAGTAGTCATTGCCCTCATCTTTATAGGTCTTCGCTTGCTCTGAAAAAAAAAAGGGGGTGGGAAAATAGTCACTATTTCCTGTTTTAGAAGGTCCATTTAAAATATTTTAAATCATCCAATAAAGTAATATATGACAAACCAAAGAGAAG